GTTCCCTGACTAGATCCTCACTGACTCTAGGCCTGGGTGCACCTCCCCTGGGGCCTGTGGGGGTCCCGGTGAGGGGGGGCTGATCCGGTCCCTGCTCAGGAAAATGGAGGCAAAGAAATTGTTAAATAGGTTAGCTTTGTCATCTGGTGTGACGACCAGATTTCTGGTGTGACAACCAGATGACCAGATTTCCTAGATTTTAGTTCAGTACCATTCTGATATTTTTTGTCTACATGTAAAAAATCTGTCTCAAGGATTTCATTCTCTTTTTTTGGAAACAGTACCCCTCAAGTATGGACTGTATTATACTTAATTATGTATTTTGACCTTTTTTCCAAGGCAAAGTTGTTATGAAGAGGTTGGACTTTTTTCCCAGCAATATGCAAGAAGACTGAAGATTTATTTCATAGATTTCATAGACATTAGGGCTGGAAGGAACCTCAGAAGATCACCGAGTCCAGGCCCTCGCCTGAAGGGCAGGAAGTCAGCTGCGGTCATAGGATCCCAGCTAGATAAGCATCCAATTTGCTCTTGAAGGTGTTCAATGTCGGTGCTTGAACCACCTCCAATGGCAGGCTGTTCCAGACCTCGGGGGCTCGGACAGTAAAGAAATTCTTCCTTATGTCCAGCCTGAAATGACCTTGCAGTAGTTTATGACCGTTCGACCTCGTCATCCCTTGGGGTGCTCTGGTGAACAAACTTTGCCCCAGAAACTGGTGATCACCCTGATAAACTTGTAGGTGGCCATCAGATCACCCCTGAGCCTATGCTTTTTCAGTCAACTTCCTGGAAGCTAAAGAAAACAAGAAGATGGGTGAGAGGGACAGGATGCTGACCTTCCGAATAGCAAAGCAGATCTCTCAGCATTGAAGTCTTTATTGTGCCATTGCAACTACTTCCTTCTTTCCATGGAACCCATGGTATCCTCCCTAGAACTACTCCATTCTCCTGGCAAGGATCCCCCTTGGCAGCCTGTCACATTTGCCACAAAATATTACAAAACACTCACTCAATAAACTTAAACCCAAACATTGCTGAGCCTAATAATCCCAGCTGGGGATCAGGATGACAGATTCCTTTCCTTGGATTAAAAAAAAATGGGAAAAAGAAGATTTGGGTGTAAACTGAAACAATGACATCTTAAGCCAGACAACCTGATACACGCAGTGGTAAATATTTATTTTACAGGAATATCACAGTAAAATATACTGTGTTAGAATGGCTGAGAGAAAATGATGTTCTAAGGAATCCAATTAATTAAGGAAAGATGTCATATGTGATATATCAAATGGTTCAGAAAACAGTGGCAAGACTCCAGCCATACCCCTTGCTTCAGGACCAAAGAAATCAATTGATGAAAATGCAGTTAAGTTGACTAGTTGTAAGAGATGTCCCTCCTCCGGTTCCCCCAAAGGCTCAAGAGACCTGAGGGGCTGTAACAGAAGAAAATAATACAATCATCAATAAAATAGCAACTGAAAGCATATCCTAGATAATACAAGACCAAAGAAAAATCAATACTTTCTTGTGAGGTGGGAGGGAAGAGTTAGAGTCCTGGAAGACTGCCACAAGGCAATTGAAACAAACCAATGATAGATTAATTGAATTAACAAAACTTCAACAAATCAAAGTAATGATTTAGAAACTCCTGAAGGAAAATTGCTTTCTAACTCCCAGAGTGTACAAAAGAGCAACTACCTATACCTTTCCTTCAATATTTTTTATTTCAATATCATTTCCAGATATGTTACACAATGGAATGATTGAACCCCTTTGATACTAAAGATTTCAAGGCCTACCTAAATTTCTTCTAATATATATTTTCTAAACTTGAGTGTCAGGAAAGATTATCCAAATGGTCATTTAAAAACAATAAAAGGATAAGAAAGAGTTGACGATCTACTGAATCAAAATGATCCAGATAACAATAGTGGGTAGATAAATTAAATGAAGAGGAAATTTTTCTGTATGATAGTGAAGTAGGCCCTGAATTTTCTTGTAAAATTGGAGTACATAAAACAGTAAGACAAGTCTATCTTATTAAAATAAAATAATATTTTTTAAAAACATATTTATAATATTAGCATAAAATAATGAATTTTACAGGTCTGGAAAAACAGTGAACTTTATAAACTGTCAGCGAAGCAAGATATGTGGAAACAAGATTCCCTTACATTTGTTTTCTGTTTAGTTTAGCTTGACTGAGGAGTTTCTAGAAAGACCTTTCTAAAGTATAACTAGATGTATAAATATAAGAAATGGGGAAGAAGAGGTGTTTACTTCTGGTGATACAAAGGCATAACCTAAAGTAACATCATGAAATTAAGAAATGGAAACTCTTAACCTTTTTCCTCTCAGGGTTATGTACAATGCCTGAGGGTTTGTTCCTAGAAAATTAGGTGACTGTGAGATCTCTGGGCTAAATGCAGTTTGAATTCAATTTTCTTTTGTCACAGTCACATAGAGTAATTGCATAGTTGTGCATGGTCTGAGCTGTGAAAACTGCTGTCAGATCCTTGTTTGGTTCATTTTACTACTGCTGATGCCACAGTTCAGAACCCCGGTCTCTACTCACGGCAAGCGGTGTCTCCCACAAAATATGTGGTGTGTGTAATCAAATTTCCAAGCTTTATATTCTCTAGGATCATTTGTTAAATTCCAATTCAAATGTTAGCAGGTGAATGTGAAAAAGCCATAAGCATGGCTAATCATATTCATGTTTATTTATCAGCACCTGGGTGGGAAAAGTGTTACAGTATCCAGCTAAGCCTTATGCACGTTCTGTCCCAGTTACTTCCTTTATGCCACCTTTCTCTCAAAAGTAGATGCATACTTAATTATTACTTCTTGTTCTACTCCTTAGGAGAAGAAAACCTTACAAGCCCACTAAGCCCAGCTGGTAATCTAACATTTGGGTTTCACATAGGGTAACTGTGTTGGTTTACACTTAGCTATGCTTCCCAGATCCACTTAACTCATCAGCCTGTAACACCTTACTAATCACTAGGAGTTTCTTAAGGCAAGACCTCTTTTTTTTTTCCACAGGTCTTCACTCTAAAAAATGAGGTGCACAGTAGGGTTCCAAATTTTACTGGTCCTATTACGGCTTCAATCCAAATAAATATATAATAATAAAGATGGCAGACTTCAAAAATTTTAGGCAGTTTAGCTAATCATCTAACATTTGCTTATTTACCTATCAAACCTGATTGTGAATTTCATTAAAACAGACTCTGTTAATGGTGTTGTAATGTTTTTACTTCCACTCCCAGCCCTGAAGATTGAAAACCGTAAGCAGGCAAAGAACCGCCCCCCAAAACAACAAAAGGAGAAAGGGAATAAAATAATCAAAAAACACAAAAGGAAAATCAGTTAGAACTTATTTTGAGTTACAGGCAAAAAGTTTGGGGGGGGGTTGGGGGGTGAAGGTTGACATTTGGGAGATGGAATATATGTTTGTTAATTTTTTTAAAAATCTGGACAAATTCCCTGATTCATTAGAATTTAATATAGTATGGCATAAGGAATCAGTTTCTTAGAAAATGGATAAAAACTTCTGAGACATTTTTCTTATTGAAAAATATATCTCTTCTGGAGACTTGGGAGAGTAGAATGCTAATTAACATTAAATTGTGTGATGGTTTGCACTTGATAGCTTGGTTCTTAATTTCAGTGGTTACTCATAGAATGCACACTGCATTTGCTCAGCCATATGACATCTTATTTCTTTTACAAAGATAAAGTTACATTTTCTTTTACAAGGTCAAATTTCTAGGGAGCAGTACTGATCAAATTGGTTTGGCATCAAGCACCAGAAACTATCATGCTGTGTTAAACTGCATTACTAAAATTCATACAACATTTGTAATGTAGCTGATGCACTGTGCACTGCAGTGAATAAAGTTGCCCATGATCATTAAAGCTTTGCTAGTTATTGCTTCTCAAAAAGGGTGAATAAAAGCCAAAATACCTATGCACGATTTTTTTAAACAGGAGATGCACTCAATCTAATTTTCATCCTCCAACGATGTAAAGAATCTATCTTTACACACACACATGCACACACACAAGGTTCAATTCAACTGAGTTCAGATTGTATTCTTAGACTCTCTTCAACACTTTCACTTTAGAAATGATTTTGTTCCCCTATTATTTCTTTTCAAACTCTCTGGCTATTAGTTCAACATTGTGCTAAGGCTTCTTCTGTGGCCTGGATCATATTGGTAATTGGCCCACATTGATAATTGCCATTATAAGTGCCGCTGATAATAATACAGCTAGGGCTTAGCTGGTCTAAGTTAGAAACATAAATGTGTGTGCACTACTAACATGTATATGTGAGTAGCAAAATGGCTTATGGAAAACAAATATATTTGTACCCAAGCAGCCAGTTAGGTGCCAAGCTGGCTCTGCATTCACTCCAACATCTCATCTGCACATGTCCATTGCTGCTTGGATACTGGCACAGACTTACAAACATCTGCTTGTGTTGTGCTTATGAATATATTTAGCTTCTAGATTCCATGCTCTGGTTGGCTGTCAACCTAGAAGTAGAATTGGTTACCCTGAAATAGTACTTTATTTCCAGTATAGAATTTGTGAAGAGCATTGGGATCTCTATAAACATAATATACAGAACTTTCAAGTTCAGCACTTTCTTATGACTGACCTCTGTTCACCTCAGGAAAAAAAAACTGTAAGAGTGCCTCTAAACCCAGATTTGCAACCTCGTACAGCAGCTAGTCTCTGTATTGTTTACTTTAACTTCTAAAAACTTCCCAAGGAAATCAAGTGTCTCAGAATCCTAACACAAATGAAACATTTTTTGGACATTTTCTATCATTTAGGATCAGTCATATTAATGTGCCATCTTTGTAATGAATCATCTACAGCTCAAAGCAAAGGAATCTTGCATTTAGCAGCTTCATTCAAATTATAGTAGCCTGATAAAGATAATAAACATATGATTTGATATTACATATTATGTAATAATATTGCATATTATTAATACATGATTTTTGTTAGAATATATGTTACTTGGCAGGATAATATTCTCTCAAGACAAATGTGAGGCTAATGACACTAATTTGATCATAGTACTGACTGAATAAGTAGTCTAGACTTTAAGAAGGGTTTTAGCTGGCTCTTCCATTTGGAACAAAATGCAAGTTTATGGTGTGAGAAATTGTCGAACTATAAACATACAAGACATACAAAATTAGAAGCAGGAAAAGCAAGAGGTGCTCTTAAAAAATCTGGCATGTTTTACAAGATTTCAGGTGTAGCTTGAATTCAAATTCAATATTAATGGCCAAATTTGGCTGTTGAATTGTAATTGCTGCTTTCTTTTTCTTCTTTGTTTTCAGCTACAGGGTTGCTTTAAGTACAAACCCAATTTGAAATGCATAAATAGCTTTAACTGTCTCATCACTGAATACCCATTAATTTGTTATACATAAAATTTGGTTCAATGCTTTACATTAATAGCAAAGATATTTAAATTGTATTAATTGCTTTAAGTATTTCATGGGTATTTTGGGGGAGCAGGGTATGAAAAAACTTGAACATTAGTGCTATATTACGACTCTCAATACAGAAGCTGGACTCAGTCTTGATTTTGCTATCACCAATGCCAACCCTAAAAAGATTTCCCACAGTTTGAGACCTATACCTAATGAGGTATTAAAGTAATATTAATACAAATCAAGATTAAATTGAAAGCATTCATTACCCTTCTGTTGTTCAATCCACATATATCTTATAAGTCATAAAGAGAGTAGAATAAGGAAAGGATCTCAAGAATGTTTCAGCTCGGTCAATCAATTTCTCAGTGGATTGCAACTCAACTACATTTTAGGGAAGGTATGCAGTGCATCTTAAATTCTAGGTTGTTTAAAGCACAGATTGTTTCTATGTATGTATTTTTTTGTAGCATGTACCACGGTAGTGCCAAATTTTCAACTAAGGTCTTAAAACAAAAACAACAGCAGCAACAAAATCAATAGATTGGTTTACTGGGGGGGGGTGTTTTTTGAGATTTTATTTAATCATATTCAAAGATGTCTATTCCAAATTGTAGTCAACTGATAGATAACTCTCACATGATTCATAAATTTTGTTTCGGCTGTGTCTGGGTTAGAAACTTACCATGCCAGGCAGGGCTGCCCTCAAAAACAAGGCTTTGTTCCATGTATGATACTGCCATGCCACAGTCATACCTATGAGACATCAGGCCAGTAGCAGACAGTCACGGCTTACCAACATCAAAATGACTACTCTGCTCCTGGTCACACATGCTGCAGCTCAGCACATGCACATTTGGTTCAGTCAGCACATACGGTAAAACGTTTTCAATGTATGTTCCAAATATGGTAAAACTTGTTCAATGTATTTCCCCCATTGCTTTTATACAAAAACTTAATAGTTGCTTGGTTTTATCAGTAATTTCCTTTATTAACAAGCTCTGTCCTTTTCTGCAACTCCTGAACAGAACATCTAATTTTATATTCTGGCTGTTCAGCCTTTTCCTTCCCAAACTGAAAAGTCCAAACCTTTTTAGTCTTTCCTGGTATGATAATTGCTCTATACCACTGATCATTGTGGGTGCCCTTCTCTGTAGCTTTTCTAATTCCACTGTGTCCTTTTTGAGATGGAGGGACCAAAGCTACACACAATATTCAAGATGGGGGCGTACCATGGATTTGTATAATGGTACAATTATGTTTTTTGTTTTGTTTTCAATTCCCTTCTTAACAATGCCCAAAATTTTCCTAGCCTTTTAGATCACTGCTGCACACTGAAATGAAGTTTTTAGAAACTATTTACAGTGAGTTCAGAACTCAGCATTGTGAAACTATGGCTGAGGTTATTTTTTCCTATGTGCATTACCAGGCACTTGTCAGCATGGGAGTTTATTTGCCATTTTCTTTTACCAACACATTTAACCTTCATACGTTCCCATGGAGTAATTTCCTACCCCAGACACATATTCTGTGTAGTATCTTAAAGTTAATTAATTCCAAAAAAATTCTAAAAATCGCAGTGTACAATATCTCCAAAGAACAGCCAGGTTACATAAATAGTTTGCTTTCTGTGGATGAAAAACTACCCAGGGTAACACGTTACCCTGGGCATGAATTTGTTTTTCCATGTGAGGTAGCAACTTACCCTATGCCCATGTTAATGCATTGGGGGTAACTTGTTATTGTGGGTAACAATTTCTTCACCAGTACTGACCTGGCAGAAAGACTGCCAAAGCAGGACTCGACCTATGT